CTGTGTTTATAACTAACGAACCGATCGTATAATTAAACCATTTATTCACAAATATTTGATCGCAAGTACTGTTGTGTTGGATATAATTGGTTAGGAATGCGATTAAAGCAATCAAATCATTGTTTTCTACCAATTGTTGGCTTACTTTAAGGGCTAAATCATTGCTATCAACGCAAAGGCCTATTGTTTGGCATAAAATATACACATTTTGCTCATTATTTTGAGTCCAATTATGGATGCAATCAATCAAAATAGTAATTAATTTGTATTCATTAATGAATTGCTCTTTTCTTTCAATTATATTCAATGTTTGGTTAATTACATGAATAGTCTTCGCATTAATTGATGCCAGCATTTGGTGCATCACTTGATCCAAATGGTGAGACAAACCCTTTTGAGCCAAAGAGTGGTTTACGAGACAAATGAATAGTTTGATCACTTCTTGTTCAACAAAACGGGTCTCACTTTTGTTCATCAAATACCATAAAATGTGTGCAAAACTCTTTAGATTTGTTGGATTATTCAAAGTTGTGGTCAAAATCCAATCACATCCCAATCGGTGACCACTTATATCGTTAAGACATCTCACGAATGAGTACTTCAGCGAAGATTTGTTAGAAATAATCACTTCATTGGACATCAATTCAATAAATTTGAGACAATTTTGTTGGCATTCAAAGAGCTGTCGATCGGACAGAAGTGAACCACAAAAGCGTAATTTCGTAGACAATTGTTGGCAATCATTGGCCAACAACTGATCCAAAGGCGTGTCAATTGTCTTCTCCAATGACTTCAAAACCATAATCTTATGCTCTGATGGGAAGTGTTGGTCGTGTTTGAGAAACGACAGCAACTTCTGGACGAGAGTGTCGTCACAATTGGCAGAAAGACAGTCATCGAGAACCACATCCACTGCTGACAACACTTTTGTCAACACATCCATCGCTTCCTCCACTTCTTCACTCATTGTCACAATCAAATTGATTCAATCAATACTGTAGTCAATACACATGTGTTTAAATGCCAGATATGGTTATCAGTAGACCAATGGGTGTTTGGCTTATAAAATGTGTTCATTTGAATGAACCAATCGTTGCACTCAATAGAGAGCACAACAATAAGAGGACGTAATGTATGTATTGTTTGTGAATTCATTTGTAAACAAATAATTGTTTTTTTTGCGAAAATATTTGCGTTTTTCTATACTTTTCAATGGATTTACAGATTTATTAATGAATTAAAGTTTCAATCATTTAATGACATATTTTTATATTTGATTTTAATTTGATTACAAAAATGACAACAATTTGAATGTGAAGTCGATATGAAAAGTGGAAATAGTGTTGAGTTTTGTGTGAAAGCATTGGTTTTGTGTTTGTCTTCCATTGGAGGCGTATTTTGCAGTAAGACATGCAATGATCGGATCAATTGATTGGTCACTTCCGACACTTACCATATGTTTTGTTGATGATATACAGCTCAGGTGAACGTCTGGAGCGATGGTCCGGGAGTTCTGGACATTCCGATGACAATGAATGCCCGACTGAGTGGCCAAATGCCGATCGAAGTGAACCAATTCGTGTATGTCTTCGA